GGAATGCTGCCCTGATTGTTGACAGCACGAAGGGAGGGGACACCTGTGAAGCCCCGGACCAGGTGCAGGGCACGCACTTCGTAGGCGGTGGCTGTGCGTATTAGAACATTGCCCACCCCTCAAACTGCATGGCAGTATTCGAGTTCCAGGATTTCAGCTACCCCTGCCAGCTTTTACCGCGAGCTCCATGGCATAGACCTTACACCACACCTGCGCGGTCAGTACTTCCTGCGTCATGATAACAAGACAAGCTACAGCGATCACACAGCTAAGAATAAGGCCATCCAGCACCATGATATGGGGTGACATTGGCCATGGAGGACAATTAAGTAAGAAAGGTTCTTTTTCTGAGTTTGCCTTTACACGTACAGAGAAACCCACAGTGTGGAAAGTTTTGCTGCATATAATGATGTTGCCTCCAAACATTTAGAAAGAAAATGCGCTAAAGGACAGAGACGTGCCCTCTCTGGGTAGCTCAGCTGCCCACAGTACTAGCAGCGTTTCTTTTTTTTTTTTTTTTTTTTTTTTTTTTTTTTTTTTTTTTTTTTTTTTTTTTTTTGCTGTATGCAGGCCTCTCACTGTTGTGGCCTCTCCCGTTGCGGAGCACAGGCTCCGGACGCGCAGGCTCAGCAGCCATGGCTCACGGGCCCAGCTGCTCTGCGGCATGTGGGATCTTCCCAGACCAGGGCACGAACCCGTGTCCCCTGCATCGGCAGGCGGACTCTCAACCACTGCGCCACCTGGGAAGCCCGCAGCGTTTCTTTTTAAGCCCATACTCTCATGTAATTTTATTACATAATTATCCAGAGTGCTACAGTCCCCTTCTGTGTGACAATAAAAGGCTCTTTTTGGAAAGAAGGAATATTCCTCTAAAGGCTCAGAGGTATTTGTAAAACAACAGAAACGTCCTGAGAAATGAATGTAATGGCTTAAGGGAAGGATTTTTATTTTTTTGGCAAAAAAAGAACACAATCATCTATTAATATGATATCAGGGTCTAACACAGATCTCGAAGATTAAAAAACATTCTCTGTTTTATTCAAGAGGGACCAGTAGCAGGAAAGCATTGGAAGTTAGACTTTTTTAATGAGTCTGAGTAGGCATGTGTACTGCTCTAATTAAAGAAAAATTAATCAGTAGGTACGATGACACCAGCATGAGTTTGCTTGCTAGCCAACAAACGTCAGAGAGGTGTACACGAAACCTGTTACGCTAACATATGACGCTCATTAAAGACATAAAATATTCTGCTGACTCACACTACGGAGTACTCTAGTGATTTACACTGCTACGGTGTGGAAAGTGTAAACTAAGTTACATGCAACGTTTTAAGAATGAAAAATGAAAGAAGGCAGGCTTGTATGGGTGTATGTCAAAGCCCTAAGTATAATGAATTCTTCTTATAAGAAGTAAGTAAGTATTCTTCTTATAAGAAGTAAGTAAGTAAGTAAGTAAGTATAACGAATTCTTCTTACGAATCTCATTAGGCAGGTTGTTCTGGTTTTGTTTTTCCTAGTACGTATTCAGCATCTGTGCTCACTTCTGTTATCTGACAGCATCACAGAGAAGGTTAGAAAAGAAAGAAACTTGGAAGTTACCTCGTCTGAATTCATCAGGCCCACAGGTTTAAGACATCTCTCAAGTTCACGGAGATAGTGACAGAAGGAGCTAGAAGCTAGAATAAGGGTACAGTCATCTTATCCAAAAGACGGTGCTCCTTAGAAGATTTAAATGAAACAACACTTGTTCTTGTCATTCCCAACGTTGGTGACCAAATCACGCTCAGTTTGCTTTTAATACAAACCAACCAAGAAACTCTGCGGCCACGTTCAAACATCTCGATGAAAAAACTATCAATCCAGGGCGTAAAAAGAAAAGGAAGGAAGAACAAGAGGGGCGGGGGGTGGGGGGAGGAAAGGAAAAGAAAGGAAATATGCAAAAATCTTAAGCAACCTGTTCACGGGTGCCATTTGCTCAATTTTGTCCAATTTTGCCAGATGGAGCGAGCAACGTCACCAAAAGAGACATCTCTGGGATAGATAGGAATTGAATGCAAAGTACAGAACCCACTGATTTTCCATCCCTTCGCTTCACCCACATACTCTGGCTTTCTCTACACTCTGTGGAATAGACCCGAGACTGCTTAGCTGTGCAGAAGAAAGCATGGTCACCATGCTCTCGCGTCGATGTGCAAGACACCGTTTAAAAAGGAAACCTCAGAAGGAAGTCTTCCCAGTACTTCTGAAAAACATGCTACGTTTCTCAGAAATAGGGTAACCTGCTCAGGGAGAAGGGACACAGAGAGCAAGGCAATTCCTGCCATCCTCACAGATGCAGCAAGAAGGAAACACAGTGGGGCTCACAGCATCCACGGAAGATCCCAGCGCTACTGCATCGAGACTCACCAAGGCCGTAGCCCATGGCGAGTCCTCTGCCTCCCGAAACTACCCTGTGCCTAACTTTGCTACAGGCAAGGGGCTGTTCACATTGAATTGCTAAAAGAATAAGTGGTGATAAGGATTAATGCTTTGATTCCTTTTCTTCGTTCATGTCTTTGATCACCAGCCCACAGACCCAGACCCCTCCTGCTGTTGTATCCATTGGTAAACACAAGCATGGACTCGGGGCTGCGATGCGTTTTATATTCTGCTTACCTTCCACAGTTAGTGTTTGTCTGGCTTCCTTTTTTTTGAAACACAAAAACAAAAAGCACGTGCTGTCTCTAAAGGCATTGGGGAGAGAGGTGGAAACTCAGAGGAAATAAGATAGAAGCAGCAAAAGCCTCAGTCACAACTGAAGGACAGACTGAAGATAAAGGTACACATACCAACACTCCAATCCATTTCCTCGGCAGCATCTCCATAAGCGCCGTGTTTACTTTTGCCGGCAAAGTCCTTCGAAGAGAAGAGAGCCGTGTGCATGTGTAGGAAAGCCAGGACAAGCAAGAAAGGGGTCTTAGCATTCCTGAAAAAAGAAAAAAACAAAAACAAAATCCAAGAGCAAAATAAACACATTGGCCACCGTTGTTGTTTGTTTTTTATTCTGAAAGTGAAAATGTTCATTCCCTTGGTAGAAAAAGATGGCTTTTATAATTTTTCAGTCTCAAACGATAATATCAGATTCAGCAAACTAACTAAGGAAAATTAAATCAGCTCCGACTTAATGGCAGTGAACTTTTAAAAAATGTTTATATTGTATCGGAATATGGTTGATTAACAATGTTGTGTTAGTTTTGGGCATACAGCAAAGTGATTCAGTTATCCATATACCTGTATCTGTTGTTTTTCAAATTCTTTTCCCATTTAGGTTATTACAGGATATTGAGTAGAGTTCCCTGTGCTATACAGAAGGTCCTTGTTGCTTATCTCTTTTATATATGGCAGTGCGTACGTGTCAATCCCAAACTCCCAATCTATCTCTCCCTGCTACCTTTCCCCACTGGTAACCATAAGTTTGTTCTCTAAGTCTGTGAGTCTGCTTCTGTTCTGTAAGTAAGTTCATTGTATCAGTTCTTTAAAATTTCATGTATAAGCAGTATCATATAATATTTGTCTTTTTCTGACTTACTTCACTTAGTATGATAATCTCCAGGTCCATCCATGCTGCTGCAAATGGCATTTTTTCATTCTTTTTAGCTGCTGGGTAATATTCCGTTGTATATATGTACCACACCTTCCTCATCCATTCCCGTATGTTCATAGCAGCACTATTCACAATAGCCAAGACATGGAAGCAACCTAAGTGTCCATCAACGAATGAATGGATAAAGAAGATATGGCCACCATTCTGATTAGGATCAACCTATGATTACACGATGCAGTTTGAAAACTGAGAAAACACCCCCGAATGATGCCGAATACTGAATGTCTTATTTGGGGGATGCAAGTCTCTCTCCATAGGTAACTCACTGTACCCTCTACAGATCAGCAGACTGATGTGCTATGTCCTTGAGATATTCTCCAAAGAGACAACTCAGAAAAAAAAATGTATTGGAGAATGACCTACTTTTTTCTTGAATTCTGTTCTTCCCTCTCTCTCTGAAATTGATATGAATTGAAGCACCTACAAAACTGTATTCTTTCTGGAAAACAGACACAAACGTGTGCGCGTGCGCGCGCACGCTCCTACCTAGTAAAGACAGTATCTTGGGTTGTCAACTACTTAGATCCACAGCTGAAAGCCAGTTCAACTCTATGTGCCGCCATGTTGCCCACCTTCTCCTAGAGAACAAGTCTCCTGGCAGGAACACTCCACTGTCAATACTGAATTTTGGAAGTTAAATGGAACACTCTCTGAACTGGCCTCAATCTGTCCTTTAGTAGAGAGAGACGGATGGTATTGCAAAAGCTTTTCGTAGTTCAGAGTACACCTAAACCTGCTCTGGTGGATTTGTTGAGAAAGCACAGATGCTGGAGCATTATAAGTCCCTGGAGCGTTAAAAGTCACTGTGCACGTGTGGTCCTTGGGACAACTGCCAGGCAGCTTGGTTACTGTAGGGAGGTCTGGGGATTCACACCCGAGTCTGCTCAAAGGGATCAATTAGTCACATCACTTCCTCTTGACATCTAGTGGACCTCTGAGAAATGCACTCAGTTGCTGTGTTTCCATTTCATGCAATAGCCTTGTCCTATACCTTACTCCAGGCGACCATCAGCAATTCCTTTCTGGCTAAAAGGGAATACTGAGTGAGTGCCCCTTTGAAGGCTATCAGGGCACAGATGAAGAAGGGAATGAATGTATTAATGGGTGAATGAATGTAATTTCTGATAAAGCATTTGCTGGTCTCCCCAGGGATTACTTATATGCTCTCCTTCCTCCACTAGACCACAGGCTGGGGCATGTCATCTACATCTGTGGATTCCTGGCACCAGCACGATGACTGGCAGGTAGCATCGGTTCCGTAAACCTCTGTTATTCAGTGAAATATTGCATTAGCTCTTTCAGCTTCAAAAGTACCACCCAGACCTTTAGCAAACTACTTGGGACTCATGAATGCAACGTGGTCTCAGTGGCAAAGATGTCGAACACAGGGTGTGATTCCTCCAAAACAGCCAGAGACTTTTGACTTAGGTTACAAGTTTGGAGATATAGATCTACATATATAGATAGACACACACATACACACACACACACACACACACGTGTGTGTGTGTGTGTGTGTGTGTGTGTGTGTCTATCTATATATGTAGATCTATATCTCCAAACTTGTAACCTAAGTCAAAAGTCTCTGGCTGTTTTGGAGGAATCACACCCTGTGTTCGACATCTTTGCCACTGAGCAAAAGTTCTAAAGGAAGAATCTATTTAATTCAAGCAACGTTGCTTGTATTTGTTTACTTACTAACCTAACCCCTCAGGATAACCAAAACCACTTCAAATTTACAACTGGGTCTCACAAATGCCGTAACTTTACCTTTAATAAATAAATGGATGACACTCCTCTAAATTCATTTTCAATTTCCTAATGTGAATACAACGTGGGTTCCTTCAGCTCCTACTGCACTTCTGGGTCAACTGCTCACCTCTACTGAGTATCACACTTTCAAGGTCGCTCGCTTTTGGGAACAGAAAATAAACACAAAAGAACATACTATGAGTGAGTCAGGCACTTCCTGTTCTCTGAAAACAGCAAATTCAGCAACTTGCTGTTGATTACTTGAATAGTGTTTTATATTTCCAGCGCTGGGAGATGAATTCTGTCACATTTTTTTTTAATTTTACAAGAGTATAAAATGAAGAGATACTGTTATTATTTCACAACTAAAAAAAAAAAAAAAAAAAAAAAAAAAGGTTATAAGTGGCTTGTCCCACTTCTCTCAGTAACTAGAGTTTGAAGGCAGGAGAATTAGAACCCACCACCTCTGTTGTATAAATCTCACTGTTGCCTCTCAGAAGGAAAAGAAGAGATATTCATGTGCAGACAGACGCCCAGGGGCTGTCATCCGAGCTGATGATCTTTGCATGAGCGTGTGTACCAAAGGCATCCCTTGGCTACCTCAAAGGGTACACACCCTTGAAGACCCTGAAAGAAGTGAGACTAAGCCATGGTATACCATGGATTCTGGCCACACAGGTGGCCTGTTCAATTTCCACCCTAGTCATTCTGGGCGCACGTTTCCTCACACCTGGATACACTGTACCTCCTTCTCAAGAAGCAGATTAGGGCCGTAAAAACTGGCTTGGGTTTCCCAAAATGAACATAAAATCTCACTCTTCATACTCATCCCAAAACAGACGGTTACATTACGAATGGGTACAATTTCACTGCCACCTGAGGCTCATCTGCTCTCCCATTTATCTTTAGACTTAGCGTTAAAGAAAATAGACAAGGAAGCTTAAAAACTCCATTTCCCAAGCATGTACATGGTCATAACTTAAAATGCAGGATGTGGGCTTCCCTGGTGGCGCAGTGGTTGAGAGTCCCCCTGCCGATGCAGGGGACACGGGTTCGTGCCCCGGTCTGGGTAGATCCCACATGCCGCGGAGCGGCCGGGCTCGTGAGCCATGGCCGCTGAGCCTGCGTGTCCGGAGCCTGTGCTCCGCAACGGGAGAGGCCACAACAGTGAGAGGCCTGCGCACCGCAAAAAAAAAATAATAATAAATGCAGGATGTGATTGGCAGAGAAGGATGAGCTACTGCATGCCCAACAGCTTGGGAAAAAAAAAAAAAGAAAACTGAGGAAAGAGGTAGCCATCAACATTATTGGCATTTTATAATCACAGGGATCACGAGATGAAGGCATTTTAAAACGTGAGGTGAGGATGAAAAAACAAAGGATAAAGTGGGGGCAACGAGCAAACAAGGGAGCCCAAGACAAACGTCCCTCATAAAGAGAGCAGGAAGAACAGCTGAGTTGAGTCCAAGAGGTACCCCTTTGGGGCTCAATCAATGACCACGGGATGTGATTTCTGTCTTGTAATGTAGGGGGACCCTGGGTGGAAGGGGAGAGGGCCATTCATGCGTTGATTATAAATATGCGCCTATGTACAGAATTATTTTTCTACAATCTCTTTGGCATCCAGTAGACTGCCCATGACAGATACCAGCCAAGGTGCTAGGTGTCCAAGAAGACTGATGAGGTTTTATACACAAAAACCAACCCTGGAACATTTAGGGAAGCGTACCCAGCTGCACATACTCAGAACCACAAAGATTTACCCTCCAGGAACAGAGGTGTGATCAATGTAGCACGGGCACGTGGGCTGGACAGACATCCATCGTTACTGCCCTGCACACACCCTGAGATGTGACTGACAGCTTGATCTCTGGTGGGGTGGGGGGAGGAACCCTTGCTCAGCCTTATCCTTCAAGAGCGCAGGAAAGGCCATCCTCCCTCGTTCAGAAGGCCCAGGTCTCTCTTCCTCTCTACGACCTTGAAAACTAAATGACACTGGAGCAAGTTGACGGGAGGGAGATCTCTCCATAACTGCTTAGCTCCTTTTTTATTAGCTGGAGCACTTCAGTAAACAGCTCTCTTGAAAATTTATTGCCACTGTCTCGCACGCTGTGTGAAAAGATAGAACTTTCATCTGCTACATGCCTTCCCTCTATTTGTTACAAATACAGAAGGAAGCTCTGCACCTTCCCGGCAACCTGCAATCACTCCAATCTCAGAATCAAAAAGATTTACATCCCGTCCACGCGTGAGTGAAACCTAGGCAAGAAGATGGCTATGGCATTATTATTTTTTTTTCTGTCTGCCACGGTCTTGCATACCACGTTCCTCTTCTCAAAGTTTGACCTTGATTATTCACCGAGTGTCCCCATTTGAGTCAGCGTAGGGAATGATAGGAATGCAAATAGGGACGTCTGTGCATTCCTCCTGAGACCCCTCAGATGCTGGTGATTAGACTAAGGCATAAACCAGGTAGTGGTGTCAACGGTCACCCAGCCGGAGTCCGTGTGACCACCACTCTGTGTGCACAGAGATGGACACGCCTGCCTGTTCACTTCATCCATCCAGGC